AGTTTGACTTTCTTTCTAAAGATTAACAAATTAGTATCTAGTAATTGGACTTCTAGTCTGAGTTGAAATCTATCTAATTTTTTATTGACTGCTAATAACTTACTACATAGCTATCATTTTGCCAGTGTTCTGGTTTTGCAACTTTGAACTGTGGCTAGTAATTCAGAGCCGAGGTGCCTAGATATTGTTGATATTTGTTTTTTGTAGAGAAGATAAAGCTGTTTTGCATTTGGTGAGCTAATTCAGCAAGATGACTGAATTTTCTAAAACAGCAAAGACAGCTGGCATGAGTGTAAGCAGAGCATGAGCATTTGGAGTATTTCAGTTTCCTGTCCACTCTGTTTCACTGTCAAGCAGAAGTGGATCATTTATTCTCTATGGAAAGACTGTAATGATTTTGAAATTGTCATTTTGATATGGAAATGGAAAATGCACCTGTTATTTTTCTGCCTTATGGATGCAATTTATAGCGTTCTAATGTACTAACACAATTAAAAGGACAAGTTTAGATTTTCTATAATTGCTATTCATTGTCATTCAGAAACTTTTTTGTTGTTTTGCCTTTACTTTTTTTGCCTTAGGAAAGTTTTGGTGTAACAATTCTTATATTCTTAAAGGTGTATTAGGGTGAAAAAATCAGTGCAGAATTGTGAAAACTCTGTGGAGAAATAAAATCATTCAAAAGAGCCTGATTGCGGAATTAATAACGTAATCTGGGAAAAGAGCTGCAATGGTAAATTAAATTCACTGTCAATAGATGAAAATGAAATAGATTCTTTGCATTATACATGAGGTGGTATCAGATGTGCAAGGATGTTACAGAAAATTGGTGTTTATGAAGGGTATTCCAAATACTAAATTATATGCCTTTTCATTTGACTATAGTTTATTTACAGTGAGTTGGAAAGGATGCACCAAAGATTATATCTTTTGTTCAGTACTCTAACATAGTTATTTTATTCTTTTCTGATTAAATCAGAATTACATACTTTTTTGTTCTGTAAATTGTGCAGATACAGCAGTATCAGCAGGAGTGTCCTTTGAAAATTAAAAATTAGGCAAACCAGAATGAGATGAATAAAAAAAATGTCTAATGTTTCTGTGACGTAAACAGATTCTCTCTGAAGGAAATACCAGGACAAGAGAAGACTTGGTACAGTTTAATTTTACCAAGTATAGATCAATGTCCAGTTAGACATTACACAATCTGTTTTATATATGTAGCCACACTGTAGGTCACTTAGCAAATTAATGATTTAGACATAATTTAAGATGGACTGTTATTTGCTACAGCATGGACAGATGAGAAAAATTGATTCTCTTGTAGCTGGATCTTGTTAGTCTTTCTGTTTGCATTTGTCCACGAGCCTGTGGAATTTTCTGAGGTCCTGGAATTCTCGAAGCTGATGACTTTTTTTGGGTTTCTTCCAGCCCTCTTACATGAGGGATAAAAACCCTGCTAATCTTATACTAGTCCAAAATTTAGGGCTGTGATTCATATTATTGAGGATTTTTTTTAATAGAAGTATGCAGTTATCTGAAAACCTACTTGGGTGTATATATGTTCCTTAACATGTTGACTAACTTGTATCTATAGTTACATTAAATATCTGTTTTGCAAACACTATGTTTGTGAGGTTGCTGTTAAGCTTAAATTTTAATGGGAAGGAGAGGAGTAACTGAAAGGGAAAGTTCAGTACGACTTTTAAGAGTGTAGGTGATTTGGAAGGGAGAAGAATTGGTATATTAAAGTCACGAGTTCTTCACTGTGTGATCTCATGGTTTCTTATTGTACAGGTATTCAGTATACAGAGTAAGTCTGTCAGAATCATTTTTATGTTTGTGCTTAAGAAAACTATTTACGGTAGCTTTAGAATTAAGATGAGAGAGATCTAATTATAAGAAGTTGAAAAGAAGCATGTATTTCTAAAATATTTCTTTGTATTAAATGTTTTAGTTCAACAAAGTAGAAGACAGTTCATGGGCTTTAACAACAGTTGTGTGTCTTCTGTTGTATCATATCAGCAGGTCTTTTTTTTTTTTTTTTGGTTAAATCCTATTTCTCTTGCTATTGCAAGACACTTTCCCTCTAGATTATCAAGTAACTTTTTCAAAATTGTATTGACCCATACAATTATACTTTCTGGTCATCTTGTTTAGAGTATATTTTATGTATGAATCTTTTCTATTTCTATTGTCTACCTAGACAAATAAATCTGAAGTGAAATTGTCTAACTGTATGTTATTTTAAAAATGTGGGAGTAACGTTTTCTGTTACAAGGTTCCAATTCTATTTTTGGCAAGCGGCTTCTAATCCAAAATCTGAAATACTGATCTTGCCATGATACTAATTATTAATTAAGTAAACTGTTTAAAGAAGGTGTTGCCATGAAAAGTTGGAGTTTTGTGTACACTTAAAATTGCATAGTGTAAAAAGAGAATCACAAGGTGATACTTGCTCATGTTTGAACTCACTATTTTATCTAGTGCTCCATTTTTCAGAAATATAAAGAACGCTGGCCTGAAAACCACTCTAGGTATATTTCCTCCTTGTTTTCCTAAACCATTGCTAGTGAATGTCTTTACTCTTTCTTTCTTATGTAAAATTATATAATCACATTGTTTATCTTGCAACAGGATCTTTCCTAGCTTCAGAAGCTTAGTGCTTGGGTGAATTTGAGCTAGGTTCATGGTTTTTCAAATATGTTGTAATATGCTAACTGAAATAGAACATAGATAAAATGATATGAAGATGAAATTGGGACTAAGATATTTTATTACTCTTAATTAATAGATTAGCTGCTTTTTATTTTATGAAAGACAAAATTCTAATCGGGTAGTCCTCGAACTTGGTATGGGACATTTAAGGTGGAAGAATTATTTTCCGTACAATCAAAATGTACACTTAAAAAAACAAAACAAAAAAAAAGGACAAAGTATACAAAACATATTTTGTGTATGATAATGCTGTTTTGTATTAGGCATTCATCTTGCATGTGAAAATGAGTATTTTTTTTTTTAAATTCATGCATTATTTAGATGATTTTACAGCTATCTTTGGTGTGACTGTCCTCTGAAAAGTATTTTGTGTGTTGACTTTTAAAACCTTGAAAGTGAATTGAGTGTGAATGTTCACAACTTTACTGAACATTTAAATTGAATAAACCTAGCTTCATTACTCATATTATACTGCGTTAGGCAGGGTGAAGGCATGCTACATCAAGCTTGTTTCCCCACTGTTTTTTCCCCTTCGTGTAATAAAGGAGGTGCAACATTTTTAATTTTTAGCTTAGAAACTAGTATGTTCTCACTGGAAAAATACATCTAACTCCTTTAAAAAAACAAAACTGCAAATAGTTTACTTGGTTATATTAGTATGAACATTCAAAATGAAGAGAAAATGTTATTTCTTAAGACCTAGAGAAGAGAATTATGGAATAACAAAAATAGTTCAGCTTGTAGCATTTTGGGGTATTAATGTGTCTTGGGTTTTGTTTCCTGATACTTGAGAATTTTATCACAGATTTCTGAAACGTTGTCAACGAGAAAGTAAGGACTTCATAAAATAAATAAATTCTAAGGCTTGACAAGCTATATTGCAGACTCTTACTCACGTGAGTAATCCTATTTACAACAACAGAATTGTATGAGTAAGGACTACTCATGTAAGTAAGGGTTTCTAGGATAGAGCTCTTACAGCTGCATAGATTTGCAGACTTGTTCTAGTTTCTTAGCTTTCTACTAGTAAAAAGCCAAGGGTTGATTGCCAGCTGTTCAGAGGGAGAATTCTCAATAGGACAGCTGTCAGTTGCCTGGTTACTGGGACAGAATGTAAAAAAAAAAAAAGGTAAGCTTCCTAACTGAAAGATCCTCAATATTTTACTTTCAAAAGGAAACTGCAAATGAATGTCTGCACTCACTATGATCTAGAGAGAGTTATACATCTAGTTCCCTTGTGCATCTATTATTTACTAATTTCCCTTCATTTGGAAGAGGATTATAGTAGTTTTAATGATTTCATGTTCTATAGGTGTTATGCATCTACTTTTTTTTCCTAAGAAAAGGGTTTACTGTGTTAGCTGAATAGGTCTTTGGTTGACTTTTTGCTGAATTATTGAGTGACTTTGCAATTTCAAAAATAGTAAAAAGGAAAATTGAAAACAAGTAACAATTATGTAGACTTTTTTGTGCTGCATTGAAATAGCTAACTCTTAACAATAATACTCATACAAACCTGTTATGCGAAATAAAGATAGCAGAATAATGAACAAAACTCTAAGATCATCACATGGAAATGAAAACCACCTCCAACTTTATTCTTGTTGTTTATTAAGTGATAAAACATTCTCTGATAGAGAAGTTCTATGGTTTAGAAGTAGATTAAAGGGTTCCTAATGACAATATACTGAACTTGTTTTTTTTCTTTATAGTCAAGTTATGTGTAAATTGAATGGATGCAGCAGAAACCTGTGTTTTACACCCTCATTTTGGGGCACTGCAGAATTCTGGGGGAAAATCATTTTAAGAAAAACAACATAATTTTGTATAAGAATAAAAATGACAGTCTAAACCATTTTCCCCCAGTCTTCGTCCTTGCACACAATACAAAATTGCTATATAGCATTTCAGTGGTTGGTTGGTTGTGGAGGCAGGAGCAATTCAGTTTTCTTAAGAGAATCTTCTCCCCTCAACTTCTGTAATATGAGAAACATGCTGTTTTTTTAAATGGAGGTAAATCCTGAATACATTAATGTAACAGGACCTTAGTGATCTTGATTCTTCGCTAATTAATATCGTGGATGTCAGTATTCTTAGCTGTAGTTAACCACAAAATTTAATCTCACCTATTTTCAGTGGCTAGGAAACAAAAAAACCCCCCCTACTTTAAGTTTGTCAGGTTACAGCTTTTAGAAATAGAACTTGTGGGGGGGATTGGGGAGGAGGGTTTGTGCCTGATTGCCTTCTCATTTCCATCTTTGGATACAGCTTTAGTATGAAGTTAAACAACATCTGTAGAGATCTGACTGACAAACATCTCTCTGGGACTCATCATTGCAGCTTGCAGCAGGTGCACTCCACTTTGTAGCCCTTCTCAAAAAGAGGTTAGCTTGTTTTTAACATTTATCAGTAGACCAGTGGGAGTGAATGACTTGGTAAAGAGCATGGGGGTTGTCAGTTGTCCAGTGCTGGAATGCTGCAGGTAATTGGGCTGGACTGGTGGGAACTGTGGTAGCGTGCTTCTCACGTTGCACTGCAGCTGCTGTTGATCTTAATTAATCTGACCCTCTGAGGCTGCAGTGTCATGGTATAAAACGCAATACATACCAGAAATGGAAAGATTGCTTTTTAAGTCCTCCTTATTGATGCTTATGTTTGTAGGTGGGCCTTTTTGGTTTCAGCCTTGGATTTGTTAGATACTAGTGTAAAATGTTGACATACTTTTGTTTAAAGCTGTAATTAATAGGTTTGGTAAACAGGAAAACCTTTATCTGTGAATTAATAAAGTTGATAACTATGATTTTTGAATTGCTAGTATAGTGGACTTTACAAAAATATTCTTGTTGCCAAAATAAAAACAGAAGTATAGTTGTGTATAAATGAAATATCTATATTGTTCAGACAAGTTGGGTGGGAGACAAGGAAATATGAGAATTAAAAAGAAACATAGTTAAATATTTAATGGAAAATTAACTTCACATTTCTATTGTAGTTTGAATGATCCATTTATTTGGGTACTTAAAATTCCTTCCTGGTTTACTGTAAAATATTTATGCAGTGGGGTATGTTAAATGCACGCTTTGACTTGTTTAATTCTGATTTATGTATAGCATTTTCTTTACATATTTTTAGTATATCATATTAAACTGGAATTTGGTAATTTGTTGTCTGAATAAACTCATGTTTGTGATTTCAGTTCTTTAGTATTAGTCTTATTTTCCTTTGAGGCTAACAGCCCCTCCTCTTTGCTTCTGTGGCACAGCCGTGGGGAAATTATATCAAGTTCCTTATGTATGCTTTCTATTACTCCAACACAGAAATATCTAAATAGTGTCGAGCTGAGACCCCTTTTAAATGTCAGATCACTGGTTAATAAGGCTCTACTCCTTTCCATTATTTTTGTTTTGTTTTTCTGTATACACAGTTAATACTAATTTTGCAAACCTGATGAATCCTAATTTCAACTTGTTGTTCAGAGGTTTATAAAGACTGGTTACATTGCTCTTGTGCTTTTTCATCTGAAGAAAAACATTTTGTCAGAGTACCTTGTATTTTAAAATGTTACCTTTTCTGTTTACTATTAGAAACTGGTAATACCAAAAGTGATCTTATCAACCATCTAAATTCAATACCTGTTATTCAATTAACTTGCTATTCTCCTAACATCTTCCATAATTAAATGTGGCTACATTTTTTTTTATAGTGAGGATTATTTGATACTGAGTATTCTTGCTAAGGAAATTTTTTAAGAACTAAGTTCCTTTTGAAATTACACGGTGAGCTCATGTCAATGATCATTTAAGGGCAACGTTAAAGAATCTTGGGTCAGGTAAAATTTTTGAGGCTATGTGCCCAATATAGCCCTTGCAAGTACCACTTATGTGAGTCAGGGACCAGGTTAATTGTCATATATTGGCACTCTGTAAAAATACAAACACTGAGTCCTCAGATGTGAGGATCTGGAGCGGGTTGTTCAGATTATTCCAAGCAAGGAAGAGAAATAGTGTACAAGTGTGAATATTCACTGTCATATTTAGAAGTAACTTTTGGTTATAAGGAAGCCTGATATTCAGACAAAAATTTATATTTGTTTGGTCTTATAGATTTTCACTGTGGAAAGACTAAACATCTGTTTTCTATCATTGATCTGTTACTGCATCCTGCAGGGCCTGTCATCTCAGCATTGACAGGATCAGATGAAAAACACAATCAATGTTTTGACATTTTTTGAGAATCGCTCAGGTAAGATCATTTGTTATGCAGAACTAAAATGATATTTATGGCCACTGATAATATTTCACCATTTGGAGTCCTTGTATTGTCAGTCATTAATTACATTAGTACACAAAGACCCTCTGTGTGTGTCTTTGTTCCCATTTAAAAGCACTCCTTTTGTGCCTAGTTAAGTGACATTTAGTGCACCTGTGATTTCCCTCATAAATAGCTTCTGAAATTCAGGACAACCTCTTTCCCTCCCTTCCTTTAGAGTGGCACCTATTCAGCTTGGATCAAGAAGTATATTATGCACCCCCAGAGTTCTTGAAAAATGCTCGTTAACAAAAATTACACACTAGTGACTCCAGTTCTTTTGAAAGATGCTGTATTGACAGTGTAGGAGACTGGAGTTTTCTGTCTATAGAACTAGGTAAAGCCTAGCCAGCAGACAAAGTTTCCTTCCTATCACCTCACCAATGTGACTTAACTCTAATCTGCAGATATTTGGTAAAAAGTACTTAAATGAGTGTGTTCTGTTTATCTATGATTACATAGGTTGTGAACTGAATCACTAGAAAGTTAGAAAATGCCAGTCTTATGGTTGCCCATTCAACCTTAATTCTGCTCCCTTTGTGTGTCCAATGTGTGACTTGAATGAATCAGTTCTCTATCTGGGGGTCGGGGTGGGGTGAGAGGAGGGACAGGATGTGAACATATAATTACATTGTGTCATGATGGGGTGGTTCTCAAACTTATTTTATTGTGCACCCCCCTTCTTTGTGTCTGTAGTAGTTTACAACCCCCTCTGGGCATCTGTCCGCTGTCTCTGAAGGCAGTGGAGAGCAGCAGCTGCTGGCCGGGCGCCCAGCTCTGAAGGCAGTACCGCCGCCAGCAGCAGCAGCACTGCCTACAGAATTGGGTGCCCAGCCAGCAGCCACTGCTCTCTGCCCCTCCTCAAGCTTCTCATACCAAGCTCTTCCCACCGCCCAGACTACATTGTGTGCCCTCCAGTTTGAGACCCTCTGTCACATGCATACACATAAGGGGGGAGAAATAAGGTTATGCAGGCAACCATAAATCTGGTATGTTCTGTCTTTTGAGTTCATGACTTGAAACATTTTTCTTCCAATATTTTTACATAATTTCTTAGGCCTGTCAATTGACTAAAAAAAAATAATCAATAATAGAATACCATTTATTTAAATATTTGTGGAGGTTTTCCACATTTTCAAATATATTGATTTCAATTACAACACAGAATACAAAGTGTACAGTGCTTACTTTATATTTATTTTTATTACAAATATTTGCACTGTAAAAAACAAAATCCTATTTTCCAATTCACCTAATACAAGTACTATAGTGCAATCTCTTTATCATGAAAGTTGAACTTACAAATGTAGAATTACGTAAAAAAACCACTGCATTCAAAAATAAAACAATGTAAAACTTTAGAGCCTACAAGTCCACTCAGTTCTGCTTCTTGTTCATTGGAGTGATTGGCTGAACTCTGATCTGTCACCTGAAAGTGAAAACAGACATTCACATGGCACTGTTCCATATATCTTGCAATGCTGGTAACATGTCAGATGTACTGAAGATTCATATATCCCTTCATGCTTCAACCACCATTCCAGAGGGCACGCGTCCATGCTGATGGGTTCTGCTCGATAACAATCCAGAGCAGTGTGGACCAATGCATGTTCATTTTCATCATCTTAGACAGATGCCACCAGCAGACGGTTGATTTTCTTTTTTGGTGGTTCATATTCTGTAGTTTCCATATCGGAGCGTTGTTCTTTTCAGACTTCTGAAAGCATACTCCACACCTCGTCCCCTCAGATTTTGGAAGGCACTTCAGATTCTTAAGCCTTGGGTAAACTGCTTTAGAAATCTCACGTTGTACCTTCTTTGCATTTTGTCAAATCTGCAGTGAAAGTGTTCTTAAAACAAAAGTGCTGGGTCATCATCTGAGACTGCTATAATACTAAATATATTGCAGAATGCGGGTAAAACAGAGCAGGAGACATACATTTCTACCCCAAGGAGGTCAGTCACAAATTTAATTAACACATTAGTTTTTTTAACAAGCGTCATTGGTATGGAAGCATGTCCTCTGTAATGGTGGCCAAAGCATGAAGGGGCATACAAATGTTTAGCATATCTGGCACATAAATATCTTGCAGTGCCAACTACAAAAGTCCTATGTGAACGCCTGATCTCATTCTGGTGACATTGTAAATAAAAAGCAGGCAGCAGTATCTCCCATAAATGTAAACAAACTTGTTTGTCTGAGTGATTGGTTGAACAAGAAGTAGGACTGAATGGACTTGTAGGCTCTAACGTTTTACATTGTTTTATTTTTGAATGCAGTTCTGTAACAAAAAATCTACATTTGTAAGTTGCACTTTCATGATAGAGACTGCACTACAGTGCTTGTATGAGGTAAATTGAAAAATACTATTTCCTTTTTCTTTTTTATAGAGCAAATATTTGTAATAAAAAATAATATAAAGTAAGCACAGTACACTTTGTATTCTGTATTGTAATTGAAAGCAATATATTTGAAAACGTAGAAAAACATCCAAAAATACTTAATACATTTCAATTACTATTCTATTGTTTAACAATGTGATTAAAACAGCGATTAATTGTGATTAATTTTTTTAATCATGATTAATTTTTTGAGTTAATTGGGTGAGTTAACTGTGATTAATCGATAGCCCTATTTTTTTTTAAATAGGAAAAAAGTTAAATTTTTGTAGCAGGCATCGTTAGCAGAGTTTGAATTGTGAACCTTCAGCACTACAGCGTAGACTTCTGCCACTTGAATTACAGGACTGCTCTTCTGTCTTGCAGCAGAAGGCTGTTATTCCAGAGGTGCTGCCATCGTTTCCTGGATGGTTGGGAGGAGTTTGGGGGGAGTGTCTGCCCTGTGTGATGCCCCTAGGAAGGAGAGGGATGGATGCTGGGACCATGTGCCAGATCCAGCCCAGCGTAACTTCCTTCCAAGAGCACCTGTAGGTGAAGGCTGGAGAAGTCCCATGCCTTCCCAGCACAATGTTTGGTTGTAGCAGCTGTTTCTTTGATGGCAGCATGTTCATGTTCAGTTATTCTGGCATGCTGCCAACATTTTCTTGAGGAACACAAGAGAAGGAAAATGGCAATTTTTAACAGTGTATAACAGTTGAATCTGAATGGAATTTCATAGGACCCCCCCATATAAAAAAAAAAGCCTCTCCAGCTTTCTCTTTGCTGAATTTCCATGACTTGCTACAAATAACAGGTATTGGAGCTTCCAAAAACAGATGCGAGAATCTTTTATAATTGTTAGGCAACCTAAGTATAGAAGCCTATGTATTATTGTTAAAGCAGTACAAGCATTAGATGAGTACTTAGAACTTATAACTCTAAAGAAAAAGTCGTATACTTGAAATATGTAGATTGCAAAGTCAAGGACTCAAATTTAAGAAACTCCAGACTATTTCCTCAAGCATACCAGATTTTCCTTTAGATTTGTAAAATTGCAATTATCTATCTAGTATTTGCGTTGCTTGTACGTTAATTAAAATTTACAATATGCAGTACAATAGATCATCGTCCAGTTCTACAATACATGCCAAGATAATTAAAATAATGGATAAAAGTTCTTTCCCCTCCTTCATCCAGTTTATCCCCAAATATTCAGGGAAAAGAGATGGAACTTGTCAGTATGTTCAGTAGACTAACAGATCTGGAATTTGATATACCATGGTCAGACTAGATAATCATAATGGTCCCTTCTGACCTTAGAGTCTATGAGTCTATGTGGGAAAGTGTGTTTCAGAGTTTACGGGACTTGCTAGAGAATTCATGGCTAAACAGCGCTCTCTCATTCATAGAGAAAGAGGCAGTCTCTCACTTAACCAGATCTTAAATCATTTGGAGCAGTATAGGTTAAAATCAGCACAGTGACCTTCATTCAATAACCCGTGCACAGTGATTTCAGCGACACAGCACTGATCTTATGTGTTCTCGATGAGTCTCTCTATTTAATCAGGAAGACATGTTCTGCTCTAGCTTTAGTTATCAGCTTTCTCAAAAACTATCCATAGGTTGTGTGCATTATAATAGTCTAATAGGTAATGGTAGTAAGATGTACTCTTATCTAATTAGCTTCATTTTGGCTAAGGTCTTAAAATAACAGTTGACTACACATGTTAGTGACTGGTGTCACTTTTTTGCTTCTATATTGTCCTTTCAAATGTCAAATTTAATAGATGGACATCTTTTACATTGGAAAACCCATTTAGTTTGTGATGTTAGACAGCAGCTTTCAGTTTTGTTTCTACAGTTAACTTTGGGTGCTAGTGGTAGGATTTCTGATTTGGGGGCCTGACAGATGAGATGAACATATAATGGTAGCGCCTCGTCTTGCACTTATTTGTGGGCACAGATTTCAGTCTGCAAAAATGGAGAAGGTTGAGGCCTTGGTATATCTCCTCCTTGCCCGCCCCAAACCAAAAAGCCAAACAGACCAAAACTGAGTCCTTAGTGGTTTTGCTTTACTTGATTTTATTAGATTGAGAAGCCTGTCCATATGTTTCTTTAGACTAGCATTACCTATTATATTTGTTGGCTTCCCAAGTAAACTGACTTTGAAGTTTTCAGTTTGTGCAAAACTGCTGATAGTGTTGTATTGTGGAGAGCATCATGAGCACATATCCTTTTGGTATCTGTATTGGCTGTCTGAAAACCACTGATTTTTAGGATTTGGCTTTTGACCTGAATGTTCAGTAGTGACCTGGTTGCTGTATCTTACAGTGCAAAGTTTTAACAGTAAGGACAATAAACCATTAGAACAGTTTACCAAGGGATATGGTGAATTCTCTATCACTTGATCTTTTAAATCAAAATTTAATGTCTTTCTAAGAGATGTGCTGGCCCAACCAGAAGTTATGGGTGTGATATAGGAATTGCTGGGTGAAATTTTGTCATCAGTGTTATGCAGGAGATCAGACTTGATAATGGTCCCTCTGGCTTTACCTACAAAGTTCTGTTATTAATATCTTAATGTATTCTTATTCTTAGAATCTAAAGTAAAACTGACTCTAAAAATTGGGATGTGTGTGGTCAATACAGGTAGAAAACTCTAGTTACTGGTAACTAATAATGTTACAGATGTCTTCCAGGTTTCACTTATAAAGTAGCTCTTCTTTTGTTAATTGCATGTACTATGAAAGTCATGAGGTTTGGGGTTTTTTTTTTCTACTTGCTCAATAACTGTAGAGCACACTTCCTTATTTCTTCTTGGGAATTAAATCTTTTTAGAGCAGGCTGGTAATTGCTATCAGAGAGAGAGAGAGAGAGAGAGAGTGTGTGTGTGTGTGTGTGTGTGTGTATATATGTATATGTATATTAGAGTGAGTTTTGGTAGCTAATACAAATTTTGTATTAACTGCACCCTATAGAACAGCGTTTCTCAACAACTCGTGTATGGACCAGCACTGGTTCCTGAGATCTCTGACACAGTATAGGAAGGCAACAAGCCAGTCCTTGGTATCAAAAAGAAGGAACACTGCTACAGAGGGAGTAAGGCCACAAAGAGGAAACACCATATTAGATCGCTAATTGTAAGATAGTGGTAACAGTTAAACTATATTTTAATTCACTATAAATATATTATGGGTAAACTAGGAGGTAGCCACTTAGAATTCCATTTTGTATGTGTTAGTTCTTGTTGTGTGAGAAAGCAGACTACCGTGCTTACAGATGATAAGATAGGGGGTTTCGGATTAATAGGTACATAGCTCCACTGAAGAGTATATAGTGAAAGAGCGAGATACTTGAGTACATTGCAGTAATTTATTTCTGTTTATTGAAGCTTCACTCGTTTTATGTAAAGTTTCACTCTGCTATAAGCAGGTTCCTTTGTGATAATCTCTTAGAGGGCAACAATTTTCACTTAACAATTCTTTTTTTTTTTTACCAGATTGAATGCTAAATGCTGCATTCTAAGGGGATTATCACCTCCCTTCCTCCTCTGCTCCAGCTGAGAAGAGAATTTGGTTTTCCAGGGTTGGGAGGAGTAATTCCTGATTTTGCTGTAGCTGATTCTTTTGGGAATGAATGACCTACTAGGGTATGCCTACATAGTTCATGGCAGCGAGCCTCCCAGCCCAGATGAACAGACTTGGGTAAGCAGGGCTCTCACTCGTGCTCTAAAAATAGCTGCGTAGACAGTGCTCGGAAGTTGTCTGACTGGAGCTTGGGCTCTGAAGCCTGTGCTTGATGAAGCCAGGTATTTCATCAGGCCTGCTTCAGACTATTTTAGGAGAGACCTGATCTAACACTTTACTCCTATTCTGACATACAGAGTAGGAGTGCTGGATACTGTTCTTGGCAGTTTCCTAGCTCTTTCTGTGGTTTTCAGCTGAAAGGAATGAAAGTTCTTATTTCTTTCAAGGTGTGTGTATGTGTGTGTGCGTGTACATGTGATAGTGAACATTTCTTTCCCATTTGCCCATGCCTCCCAGTGAGATGTGTGAAGACTCTTCCTCCCTTGATACTAAGATCCCGTCAGCTTCTGCACCCAAGAACTAACTTCAGGTAAGTGCTGCTGAGATGGAGGGAATAGATGTCCAGTCTGAATATCCCAACATTGGTGTTTTAGATTATTTTGGATTTTCTTTTTAGTTGGGGGAGAGTTGTATGAGGGAGTAATTAAATAGCAATGTCAGGTTTTTGCAGTTCTACAGAACTTGACTCAGAAAAGAGAAATTGAATGGCTGAGGCGATTGAGAGCCGGAGGGGATAGATTTTCACCTTCTCTTTTTAAAATGTTCATATTCATGGTTAGGGAAGTGGCTCTGGATATTATGTTGCTCTCATTTTCTTTCTTCAGAGGAGGAGAGTATTTTTTCCAGACATGAACAGTTTTAATAGAAGTTGTCTGAAAGGTCCAACCTTTTAAAGCTGTATGAGATTTAATTAGAGGGATACTTTTCTCTCCATACAGATATTGAGTACAAAAATAGCCCTACAATATTGTATATAACTATGCATCAATTAACACTTAGCAATATATTCAGTTACAACCAGTGATTTTCTGAGAATAGGGGAATTTTCTGTAGGTCGTCATAAACCTGCTAAATGTGTGCATCTTGTCTTTTGGGCTATTGAAATGAAATTACAATGTCTCTTTAAACTAAAGATTAGGTTTTATTTTATTAATGAGGAAAAATTAATTCTCCTGTCATTAGAAACGGAACAAATCACTAGCATGTACCATATATAACCAATACTTTGCAAGCATGTTTCGGTAGTTGCCAACCTTGTTAGAGCTATTTGACTCATGTGGGTGGTTTTCTAAGCCTGAGTGAAAGAATTACTTTTTCTTTCTTTATGCCTCTGAAATATTGTTATTACATATTTTCAATTCTTTGTGGTCATTTTGTAATAATTTTTAAAACAAATTTGTCCTAATATAAAAGTAAACAAAATCAACTCTTACTAAAAGATCTCTCTTAAAGAGACACTCTTAGGTCAATTTAGGTTTCATTAAACCTTGTTTCTTCAATGAAAATGTTTCCATAAACTTGTTTAAAAAATATTCTTTAAAATTTAATATTAAACAGAAAGCCCTGATGTTTATATGGAATTTTACAGCAAGAAAGAAATCTCTTAAATATGCAGGGAAAGTAGTGAAACAGTTCCTATACAACATGCTGTCAGATTTATAAGCTGAAAGGTTTTTATGTTGCTAAGTTTCAGGTGTCATAGTTATGTAACTGAATGCTAGGTTAAACAATTTCAGGCAAACACATGCATTTTTTTCAAGATGAGTGTCCCTTAATCAAGGTGTAGTGTGTGTGTGTGTGTGTGTGTGTGTGTGTGTGTGTTTGTGTTTTTTAAAATTTCTTCCATAAAGAAACTTGCCCTTTTTGGTCCCTATTCCTGCAAACGTTTACACACATGCTCAACTTTAAACATGTGAGTGGTTCCATTGAAATCAGTTTGCAGAATCGAGGACTTGATATTCATTTGAAAAACAACTTATGATCATTAATTTAAGTAAACTCAAATTTTTATTTTTACAATCTTCTAGAATGCCTGACTATCTGGGTCTGATCCTGCTTCTATTGAGGTCAATGGTAAAATTTCCACTAATGTTGAGAACTAAATCAGATCATAATTTCATGGCGTGTTGACCTGATGGAAAATATAGTTCATCATTTAAATCTTGAGTTTGTTATACTAATCCTTATTCTGAATTCATTAACAAGAACAAAAATGTGTTCAGTATAATTAGTAAAGACTTTCATTAAAAAATGATTACTAAAATGTCACTGTTAAATCAAGCTGTGTATGGAAACAAATTATATTACGTAAAAATACACAGCACTGTTTACAAATTGGAAATGGGAGCAAAACTATTTAGTGTTCAATATTAAGTGAGAGCTCTTTGGCTACTTACACAAAGAAACATGAAAAAAAAAATACTGAGCAGCTGAAGTGGCACTGAGCACCAGCTGGGGAATCTGAAATCAAATATTCAGTGCATGATTTGTATGGAACTACAGTTAGAATGTATGATTCTACAATAGCAATTGTGTGGAGTCAGGTCAAATTGCACATGAGGAATGAACACAAGTGAAGTCTGACTTTTCTGCAACTGCACAAGTGCTACTACATAATGTTCTTTTAAACAGAGTAATGCAAAATTGTGAAATGACTTCTTTGGCTCAATAACAACTTTTTCAGCTAAAATGACATTGTTTCAACTGGAAGAATTAAAGTCTTTAAAGTGAAATGTAGTTTGGAAATATTAAAAAAAATGAATTGTTTTTAGAAACTTGAGTTCTTAGAACTGAAAATCATTTTGTGCTTGAATCCTGTCTTTGCTACTACAAAGCCAAAAGCATCATTTACCTCCTTCCCAAAAAAAGATAGACAACTAGACATGAGAAGGTTAAGATTTATTTTGACATTTAAACTTATTTCTTAGCACCTCTGACTTCTTCCATTGCACGTTAAAAATGCAGCATTGACCTAGAGCTTTTGTGAAGGATGGCATTTTCTCCCTAAAATCTGTTTCATAGTCCTATCATGTTTTCAGATAAAATGGTGATTTTTTGACATGTTGTTTAAAAACTAGAACAGCTCTGCATATGAAAACACAAACTGTGATAATGAGATAGATATGCCATATGTGGTAGTTTAAGTTGGTATAGATTTCAAATAGCATGTTTAATGTGCTGTATTACTGGGATTAGTAATTTTACAGTTGAAGGCTGATACTTTTATTATACTGACTCCCTCTGGTGCACCTACAGTTAATTATGACAGACCCTTTTCCTTGGCAACGCCCCTACTTTCAGCAGTTCAAAATGCAATTGTGGTCTGAAATATATTACAGGTCTGAGTAACATCTTATCTTACAACTTTGTAAACAGTTTTTTGCATATTTTTAAATTGTATAGCTGAAGAATGTGTGGCTTAAAAGTTTGTGCGTTATATTTAATGTTAAGAACCCCTTCCCATGCTTGTATCAACCAAATGTCAAGATGTTTGTTTTTCCTCAACTGAATGCTTCATTTTAAACAAAGCATTCCAACCCCAAATGTTCAAAAATAATGAGATGATTTTAAAATTTTGGGCCTGACCCCTGTAGTCTAGGAGTACCCATGTAGAAAACCCCTCTCCCACCTCACAAAGGGATATACAGGACAGGGAAACAAGGCCCCTGTAGACAAATCAGGAAAGCCCAAATTAGTTTCCAATGGACTCTGCTTTACACGCCCCCACCCAAATCATTCTAGTACCACTTCCAGAGTCAGGGATATTCCACTAAGACTTCAGTTAAAAGGTCCAAAAGATGTCTTTTTCTCTTCCTGTACAAATGATCTAGTGAGTCGTAAGTTCTGCCCCTCCCAAAAGAAGGAAATACTCCAAACACAAGAGGTATGGGAGGTGGTGCTGCCACTTCCTGAGAAGAGGGTCAACTTGTAAGAACCTTACCCAGTAGAAGAAATTCAGAGGCAACACCCTTACAGAGTACTTAGAGGTCATGTCCAAAGGACTGCCATTTCCTTGAACTATCCTTCTAAGGAGCCATCCTGAAAGAATCTGGAATAGGAAGACCAAAGGGGAAGCGAGACAAAGCCCCATTTGGGATTGGGATCTCATTGTGCTAGGTGTTGTAAAAAAATATAGAAAACAGAACATCTAGGAACAGGTTCACATTTTATGATATGCATCAGAGTAAAGTGGACATTGCTATTCTTCCCAAAATGCATGCAATTTAATTGCTCATGAAAGGAACACCTCTCTTTCTGGAGGAGGGTTTTCCATCCCAAAGACTATATAAATAGGTAGCTGACAAGAAGTTGCATACCGGTAGCAGCAGCCTCTAGGAGTCTCATCAGTTCTGTCTGTTCGCCAGAGCTGTTCCAGCCTGAACAAGTATACTGAGGGATAGCTTTCCAAAAAAGAATAAAAAGTATCTGGGTTTAGGAGTATCCAAGCACAAGATTTCATTAACACTAGGATTCTCAGCCAGATCAATGGCAGATAATACCATTTCCTGCAGATACAATGTGGTTCCTTTTAATGGAAAGTAGATATTAAAGCAGTGGTCTCAAACACGTGGCGTTATTCCCTGCGGCCCGCCATAGGTGCCATTGCCACTGGCAGCCAAGCTCCTCTCCCCCTTGAGCGCGCCGTGTCCCCACTCCTCCGCCTACCTCCCAGCGCTTCCCACCACCAAACAGCTGTTTGGTGGCGCTTAGGACTTTCCAGGAGGGAAGGGGGAGGAGCGGGGACAAGGCATGCTTAGGGGAGGAGGCGGAGAAGAGGCGGGGCTGGGGTGGGAATTTGGGGAAGGGGTTGGAATAGGGGCAGAGTTGGGGCGGGGACTTAGGGGAAAGGGTTGGAATGGGGGTGGGATACGGTGGGAAGAGGTGGAGCAGGGGCAGCATCCTCATGGAAGGGGTGGAGTGGGGGCGGGGCGGGGGGTCTTTTGTATCTTTGTATGAAAAGGTTTCAGTGATGCGGCCCTCAGGCCAATGTACTAGTCCTCATGTGGCCCTCGTGGTGATTTGAGTTTGAGATCCCTGTATTAAAGCTAAGCAATATCTGGCTGTTTCCAAGCATTTGGTCAGAAAGATATTCGGAGTTAAAGCTGGATAAGGTGACTGATTAATATTGAGAAGTCCAAAAAACAACTCTGCTCCTTCCAAGGCATTATAGAAAATATTATAAACACTTGAATAAGGTCAAACAATCCTTTTGTGGATATATCTGCTCTGGACACAACAGATGAGACTACCATTTCCAAGGTAAATGCAACAGGTCCAAAATAAGTCAAAGCAAACAAAACTTCTCAGGGATGGCCAGCCCCCATTAAACAAAGAAGCATGCCTCCAAGAGAGCATTGTTAGCTGACTCTAAACATCCAGATGACCATCTGCCTCACGTTGCAGATCAGTGACTGCCAACAACATCTCAAAATGAGTTTTGGTTATAATGAGATATTGAGACTAAACAGCAAATCCCAAAACATTAGGGATGCCCTCTGCTATTTCAGGTGAGATGGCTATCATCTTTTC